CTTTAAAAGGACCATAGGAGGGACTACGGTACCCTGGCACCTCCAACTCGCTCTCGTGGATTTGGTGCTGCTCCGCCGACTGGTTGATCCCCTTGGACAGGGAGAGCAGTCGGTCGGAGAGCTCGTTGTCTGGGGCATCATCCTGCAACCAGCACTTGTGGGCGTAGAGCTTCCTGAGTTCATGCTTTTCCAGAGCCGGATCTAAGCTAAGAGCGTAGTAAGGAGAGCCAAATACCTGCTGAAGTGATGACAACTTCAATCAAGTTCCCCAAATTGTTGACAGACTCTCACCTAAACCCTAAACCCTAAACCCGAAACCCTAAACCCCTAAACCCCTAAACCCCTAAACCCCTAAACCTCTAAACCCTAGCACGGTGAACTCTTGAGCCCAAGCTTCACCTTGGTTATGTCCCAGGTGTCATCCTCGGACTCTCCGATGCTGCTTTGGCTCAAGAGCCCCTGGGCACTGAGCAATCCTTCGACGGTGCTCCTGGGTTTGTGGGTTTTCAAGTTTTAGGGAGGAACCCCGCCTTAGGGTCGAACTTTGGGGTTGGGGAGTGTGGAATTTCATTTGGGGTCCTCCGCCGCTGCCGTAAGGATGCCCTGGCCTTTGCAGTATCAGTGAAGTCGTCCGCAGATGGCGTCAAGGATGCTGTCGGGACTACTTTCGCCGCCGAGACCTGTGAAGAACAGGATACATGGAAGTTGGACCCCAACGTAGAGCCTGGAATAGTAGGATTCAAGGCACCCCTGAACAAACCCCATTAGACAAGACTTCTGACACGCAGTGAGAAGTCTTGTCCGAACTCTTAGAAAGCTGCCAAAAACCTATAATATCATCCTACTCTTGCAGACACTTTCAACATAGGAGGTTTGCACCTCGTCGAAGTCGATAACTTTGATGGTGGAGTTTCTGTCGAAGGATACCATCCTTGCCTGGCGAAGGTCCCCGGTAGCAAGGATCCTTCTAACTGCACCCCGGTTAACTTGCAATACTGAGCCTTTGCGTGGGATCTGCTTTGCAGCCTACTAGGCTAGGCGTTTTTATCGGTTGGCTCCCTCAAATACTAAGGAAATCAGAATTCAAAACAACAAGATGCTTGACTGATATTTACCCAAGGGTGCTGGCTTTCCTCCTGCTGGTGACTTTGGATTTTCCTCCACACCTGCGGGTTGCTCGGAGGCTGCGGGCTTTACATGGCCTTGTAGCGTAGCTTGAGCATTCAATACTAGACCAAGAGGTCCACACCTGGCCTGAGGCCATCGAGTTCTCCTTCTGCACACTTTGGAGACTGAGCCGCCGCTGCAAACTGCCACGCCGATCGATGAGTGGCGGGTGTGCTGGTACTGGCACATGGTGCGGGTGCTGCGCCATTGGCGCCATGCTACCCGCCGCCACGTCATGCTGGTAGCACTCAGCCAGCTTGCGATGCAGCTCCCAAAAGCTTTCTCTCGTTTCCATGGCTGGAGCGGGTATTCCGCGACGGAAAATATCTGGCTCCTCGAGCCTGGTACGCAACTGGCACCCTGCCAAGATGAGCGAAGCCCCCTGTGCTGACCGATCAGACGCTTTCAGACACCCGCGGCCACCTCCAAAGCCTAAACCCTGCAAACCTTAAACCTTACTCCGCGTTTTTTCGGAGCCCCAAACGAAGCGGAAAATCGGAAGCGAGCTCCCATCTCCGGGCGGCGCTGGGCTACGCGTGAAACCCTGGAGCAGCTACTGCTCCTCATCCTCCGGTTGAGACCTCAGATGCCAAGATCAAACCCTGAACCTCAAAAGCCAGATATCCGAACCGAACCAAACCCGAAATCCGAAATTTTAAGCCCTGAATCCGAAACTCTAGTCTCACACTCGACCCCAGTGGACTCAGCGCGCTGCAGTTTTTGTTGGAACTCCCCCAGCCACTCCTCACCTGGCCTTGGGCTGTTTGGTGCTCCTTTCAACATCGCATTGTTCTGTGGGATTAGGGTTCAGTGGTGCGGGTTTCGGGACTGTAGACTCTGAAGACAGAAGATCTACTATCGATACGTAGAATTTACATACTATAGGACCTGACTATGGGCAGTTTTGTACTTCTAGTGCATTGCATGGCACGACAGGCGGGATGCTATATCGTCTTTGCGAGCTTGGCGGCTTCCATTCGCCATAGAAGTACTCTGCCTCGCCCATGAAGAACGTGAGCTGCACAGCCCCTGCGCATTCGTGTGTAAAGGCATCACCCCCCAACACGAGCTTGGCGGTTTTGGGCTTCTGTAGCATTGCCCACCCTAAACCCCAAACCATAAACCTGCAGAGAATAAAGAGCATGCCATGAGTGTTTCAGATTTCAGAGTTCAAACTCGTTGTGTGCACAGAGGCTGACGAGTGAACGAACGTGACATATGGCTCAAGAAAAAAGAAGTGCGTTCGGGCCGAGAGCCCATTCAATTCGCTATCATGGAAACCGACGACACACAGCCGTTTGCTGATCTCCCCAGAGTTTATGAACAGGTGATGAGCCCAAGTGGGCAAGCTGCGCTTGGTGCAAGGAGGCCACTACAGACTGAAGACAGAAGGCCCAATGGTGTGGGGCCGAGAATTCCTCCTGCTGGTGACGAAGCATATGAAAGGGCTTTAGCAGCATACGGATCCGGCGCGAGCGTGGACGTGGAAACCGGAATCGGAGCGCGAGCACGTTTTCAGCGTA